GAGTAAAATCTTGTTTGATTACTTGGCGTGTCGGATGCAGTAGAATACAAACTGCTGAGTATTTTTCTAAGGAAAATGATTGATATAATTAAACTTCACATTTTTTAGTACTGTGAAGTGTAGTCTGTTTAGTCAATGAAAACATCATTGTGCACCTGCTGTCCATTTGACTTTCGTATAAAATGTTTTATCATGATATTCAAAAGCAAATCTAGTTTGTATCGGAATATTTTCCATAATTTATAAGTCAAAATATAAATTTTAAATTAATGATATTAAACCTTCTGATGAACATTTAGGTAATATAAATTTTTTTAAAGAATTGTGCTCATCATTGAAATTAAAACTTGCAAACAGAGAAGAATATTTATATGAAAGCAGCGATTTTTGTCTTAATTTATTTTCAACGGAAAATAAAATAAAAACTTTATTTCAAATACTGGTAATTTTAAGTGGTATACGATTCATTTGAAAAATAAAATATGTTTCATAATAGAGTTATAGAATAAAATGACACGAAGACTTTATAGCATAATTAGAAGAAAATATTATCTATATGATGTTTAATGTTAGTCAAATCTGAGATCGCACTAAAAATTGTTTCCGAAAATTCTTCAATATACAAACGAGCCTATTCAAGTCAATATTTAAATTTGATTTTTCTTATTAGAAAACTAATAAATTTTACGCTGAAATGTTTATAGTCTCTTTTTTTATGACTGAGATTGCTTAAGACTTGTGAAATTCATACAAAGAATATAGAAAATTTGGAAAACATTCAGATTGTTCATGTTGATAGTCTCCCGTAAAACATGCTAAATGATTTCATCATTTTTTCTGTGAAAATGACAAATTAGTAATTGAAATTTAACGTCTAAGTAGGAAATGAAATAAGACAGTTTAAAATAATCTGAATATATTTATTAAAATGATATGTTAATTTTTTTTAATCAAATTTTTATCAAGGTATAAGGTTGTTACATCGAAAAAGTGAAATATGAGTCATGAATTTATTTTACACGATCAAGCATTCATCACTATAAATTATTTTCATTTACGTTTTTTCTCATTTTGTAGGTCACTAATCACACTATGACTTTTCTGTTTTGTTATTTATTTCTTCATAGCTAATTTTATTTTCTCAAACTTTCATGATAACTTCATTTTTTAATCATCATAAAAAATAATCATTACGAAAATAAAAAAGATACTATTATTTTGATATTTTTTTATATTCTATATTTTCAATGGAGAATATAGAGTATACAAAAATAAACAAAAATTTAACTTCTATGAGTTTTTATTAAAAAAATTTAAATAATAATTTGTTAAAAAAATAAGACATGAAAATTATATAGTATAGATTTTATTGAATACTTATTATATATATATATATCAATGCCAATCATAAATTTTGTTGGGATGAACCGGAATAAAAATCAAATAAAATGATATACAAAAAAAGAGATTGAAAAAAGCAACATAGTAGTTAATATCCGAGAAGTATAGCGTGGTAACGGCAACCAGAAAACATCATATTATCTAATTATCAACTAGTTATACATCATTTAGGGTTAATTAGTGCTCACCCTACTATAAGCTCGTTTCTGATTGATCAAACATACTCTTTGAGCGTGTTTGATCAATCAATACACAAAAAAAACTCTAACATATAAGTATTTGATTTTTTTTTCCGAGCCATAGCTCTAATATAACAAGTATGATAAGAACAAACATTATCTAAAATCTACACATTATCAATATTATTTGATGTATTGCATAAGTCAAATCTCCAACATTATAGTTCATTGTTGAACAAGTCATCATACAAGTGATCAAACTTTTAAATCCATTGGCTAAAAAAATATCATCCGCTTCTGCCTTCTCACAATATTAATTCTTAACTTGAACACTATTGTTACAATTTTATTGGATTATCATAAAAAAAATTTAAATTTATTAGTAGATTTGCATCTATTTTTAGATTCACAACATTGGTCATTCCGTGAATATTGACCATTATAGTGATGTATCAAAGGAAAGAGTAAGAAAAAATTGACAATATCATTATCAGTAATAAATCATCAATCAATGACGATAAAAAAAACACACAAATATTTGATTAGACGTAGATAATGAGCTTAATGATGAAGAAATTTAACTCATCACTTATTTACTCTTTAATATTCTAAAGATCATTGAAAAATCATCATATTGCATTTTTGTGCCAAATTATTTTATTTTGAATCTCATTAGTTTTAAAAAAGACAACTCTTAACAATAAAGAGGTGAATCAATAACTTCAAAAAATAGAGAATAATCTTTCATTTGTTTTATAATCAAAATTTACAAATGTAATATAACAACATTCATAATTTGTTCATGAAAATTATCCATTTGTTATTGTTGTGATGAAGAATTTCATCTTCAACGTCTTGCGTAACTACGTAACCTTGAAATTATTTTTAAATTGTATTTCTTTGAAAAAGTCACTAGATCCATTTTATTTGAATGTCATAGTCTACTACTTCAGATTTCATGATTGTCATCTTATATTGCATACTTCTTAATTCTTGCATCGTTTTGAAAAAGGATTTTTCTTTTTGACTCATGTGAAAATACTTCAAATTTATAAGACAACAATCATATGTACATTTGATGATGAATTCACCAAAAAAATCAAAGATGTGTTGTCATGTACAAATTACAAATCAAAGACTTATGTTTAAAATCTTGATGGATCTTGATTTCCCAAAAAAATATCATACAATTACTCATTACATCCCCATCCAAAAGTGAATCACATTCTATCTGTTTGCCACAAGATTTGTTACTACAACATCAAGAAACAGTTTGATTAATAGGCTACGAGATCAAAATAATCAAAATTATTGATGACACTGCAATTTGTGAAAAATTTACCAATAAGCATTCGTAGCAGCTATAAACAATATCAAGAGGTGATCCATCTTCAATCAACTTTATTTTCAACTACGCTACTTGATTTCATTGAGGAGTAGTAAAAAAGAACCTGTCAATATCTTAAGACGTCCAATGTAACATTCGTAAACATTGTTTATGAATTCAATTTGATGATCCAAAATTGGTCAACTCAACAAAAAATAACTGAAGATCAACATTTGAACTCAAGATTTCTAGCAATTCATTTATTGATGAAACTCTTGCTTCATTATTTTTCTTTCAAACGTTGAGGTATAATAAGTTGATATACAAATACATAAACTACAATGTTTTGTCAAGATAAAGGATAGTGGTACTATAGTAGCATTGAAGATTGCTACTAGAGAAATGAAAATGGAAGACAAGGCGTAATATTCATTCAAAGATCAAGTTTCATAAATACATGATTTAAAATGATAATCAATGATATAAATTAAAAAATAAACATAATAAGATTCTTTGCGCACCAACACATGAGAAACAATGATCACACTAGTTCTGTATATTGAACTTGTTTTGACTCTTCTTCATATCTTTTAATCATACTTCTTTTGTTTGAATCTCCCTAACATTTGTCTTGGATACTTCTCTCATCTTGGATTTCTCCATGTCAAAATCCATTTCTCCTACTCAAAATTAAATTGTTAATTAGATAATAAAAACTAACCAATGACAATACACAATAAAATAAATCTTCAAAAGAAATTGCATGATGTTACAATTGGCAAATTTGTCAAAGTTTTGATGAAGATTCAAAAAGAAATCACAAGAGTGCAAAAAAATCACAATTTTTTTCAATTTCAGAGCATTGGAATCTAAGAAACAAATTTTTCAAAAAAATATGAAGAGAAAAAAATCTTCTCTATCAGAAAAATTTCTTTGAGCATTTGTGAATTTTTGGTCAAAAGTAGTAATTTTGATTCATCTAACTTCAAATTAAGGAAGAATATACAATATATAAAATTTAAAAAATGCTCATTTGAACAACTTAATTTTAATAGTAGAAACAATAGTCTCATTAGTTAATCATATTGGTTTGTAATTTGATGTTAATTTCATTGTCATCATACCTTGATCAAAATCTAATGCGCAATGTCACAAGATATAATGAGATTATTGGAAATATTCCTTTTCTATGTTAGTTTTCAAATGCTATAAACTAAAAAAGCCTACATGTACATTTAAAAGAAATCAAGATCGCAACATCATGCTTTTTGCTGTCTATGTGAATGTGTTTTAATAAACTCAATCACTTGCAACATTCACAAATATACATCTTATTGGCTACCCTATACAGGCTTTGACGTATCTCTTTGTTGTTTGGGTTACTTACTCCCTCAAACCGTTGCAAGTATATCGCTCTTACAGAGCATTTTCTCCTCAACCAACCCTCCACTCATGCACGTGAATTTTGAACTAACAAGATAATTCAAAGCTTCGGAGTCTGAAAAGATACTCCAGCTTGAAAAGTGCAATGCTTGGACATAGAATTCAGTGCGGTGTTTTGTGGACAAATTAGTGAGAGGCATACGTTGTCAAATTGGTCCTCATATTAGAAATGGGACAACACGACAGCGCTTGTGTAGCATCGGCCTATGGAACTGAAGTCAACCTATATGATGAGGAGATACAAAATTTTGTGTTAACGTTAAAGGAAATGGAAATATGCAATCAAAATTCTATCGGAGTTACCGCTTAGTCGCGAAACGATATGTAATTATATCTGTATCCAACAGTAATTTGCCTCGACACATCCATCTAGTTTTGGTTGCTCGTGGCAGACAAGCAATCTGCTGCGAGCGACCAAAACAATTTTGGGAGTTTTTAGGCGAGTGTACCTAAAATCTCCATTTTACACAAAAAAGGATTCAAGTAAAAAAAAACGATGTGATTGTGTTGATCTCATGGTTCACAACCCTCAACAATATTGCTCGATTATGGCCAACTACAGTACCGTACGTTTGGTAGTCGACACCAGAAGTTTGACCGCATCCAACTTCCCAGTGGATACAGCCAAATGACTTCAAACTTCAACTCGGTTGACTAGTGATTACAGCATTTTGCCCAGTGAGCGACAGGGACGGAGGGAAGTACATATCCGGCCGATGGGGTCTTCACGTCCCGTTTTCTATACGTCTAGGTACACTAACATCCAGCTGTGGATCAACTCGGATGAGGGGAGAAATCCTCCTAAAGCCTAGAGAAAGCTAGAGTTTTCCTCAATCCGGATCCGATCCTACGATGAGGTAAAGTTTGGGTTTTTCAACAACAATTACTCGACAGAGCCAAATTTGCACAGGAGAATGATGCATCCAGTCACCTCCAGCCCAGATACAGCAACGTTGACAGTTGCGTTGACAACGAACTTGATAATGTTTCACTCCAATAGGAAGGGAGGGAGGAATGATCCTGACCTCGGAGTTAGACAGAGTCTAGACCTAGTGCAAATGGTGCTCAAACCGTGCCAACAGACGAATCACGAACATGACCGACCCGGTCCAGCATCCGGCTCGGCATTCTCCAGCTGCATATTCACATCGACATTACAGGAGCGAGCTCGAGCAATGTTCAACACCACCACGTCTTGTTAGTTTGGGTAGACTTGGGAAAGGCCCATGCAAAGCTCATGCCTTGCCTTGCCCTGCCTGAGAGCTCTCAGGCGTGAAACAGCTGTGCCTTCTCGTGAGGCAATGGGCGGAAGGCACCGCATAGGATGTATGCTCCGGGCGGAAATAAACAAGGCGACTCTATCTAAATCGGGCGTGCCATTGCACAAGGTGCGAGCTGATAGGCTGCGGCAGCTCGTCTGACTGAGATCATGCGAAGGGATGTGGGCTCGATGCGGCGCTGAATCATGTGAAGGGGCCCTACATCATTGCGACTATAGCCATTACGGTCTGCACTCCCTCCCTCCCTCTCTCTCTCCCTGCCTGCCTTCGCAGCTGCTGCGTCAAAGAGCTGCAACGTTCACACAGTGCTCTCCCACATTTTCGAAGAGTAACCGCTGCCGCGGCCCATGTTACCGCCGAATGTGGCCGAGCGCGGAAGGGCGGACAACGAGGTTTCCCCCCGCCACCAAATCTTGGAGTTTGTCACGGACCTGTCTCATTCTCATTGTCCTCCACCTGGACCAAACCCCTCCGTCCTTCCCGAAATATACTTTCACATGCCGTTGAATTTACCTTTTAACTCCTAATTCGTTCAGACGCTGAGGTTATACTGTAGTCCAAGCGGAGGGGGACACATGGAATTGAAGCTAGCAGTCGCCAAGAATTTTTTTTAAAAATAATAAAAGCCAAAGCCAAAGCTAAAGCGGGGAGAAATTAAATAACCAAAAGAAAAGGGGGAGAGCTATTCTCTCAGGTGATAAGTTACAACGTGTCCAACCGCGCCTCCTGTCGGTACGGGAGACAAGCTGAGGTATGGCCCGTATCTTATACCGTATGGGAGATCTGGTGGGAGTAGGACACATCATGAACGTCCTCCGCGGCCATTCGCAATTACTTCGCCGTGGTACAACTGTGCAGTTGACGGAGCAAAGGTGCGCGTTCGCAGCCCGGGGGAACGAACATCCATTCTGTCATGATGTGTTGGGCAGCTTCGGATCCATGGCCGGCAGAAAGTCACCTAAGTCTCGCTAAGGGGTCCGCTCGCTCGCTCGCTCCAGGAGTAGGCGCATTATGGAGCCCGGTCAATGGAGATGCGGTTGGGTTTAGACTCGGACCGTCTTTCATGGCGAAGGGGGATCTATTTCTGGGGCCGAGGTCTTCGTCACCCTCGCCTGGTTTGCTAGCTCTGCACCGGACGCAAGAAGTCAAAACCAAAGGAAACGTCTGATAGCTGGAAAGCGAGACCTGCAGACGCTAGAATGATTTGCCATTGGAACCACGTACTTGCTGTCAATCGCACAAAAGTGCCCTACGAACGCCCACATGGCCAGCTCATGCGTCGCGGATCTCCACATCGCGAGAGGTGAAAAGTCATGACGCAGTCCAAGCCCCCGCGTCCTTCCTCCACCCCACTCCTTCCCTCCAGTTTGTCCCTCGGGGTCCTTCCTCCCGAGCGAGAATCGTTTTTTCACCCGGCGCTCGCTCGCTCGCTCACGTCATTAAGCTTCTCATGAGCATCGTACCAGTTTATATCTGGTCGGAGATCCGCTTCTTATGGTTTTTTCCCCATCCAGACCGCTGCCAGATTTGGCAATTGAATGCAAAGGCAAGCCAAGCGAGGAACGATCCTCGATCCATGCTTCGGAGAGATCGGGGACGACAAGAAAGGAAAATCTAGCCGCGCGAGAGTGAACTGTGTTATGGTCGACTGGACCGTTACCGGTCTCGAAAGATTCCATGCCAGTCGAGCTTTGCTTCAGGGCTTGATGAGTGACGAGAACGAAGGCTCTTTCCAATGATACCGAGCTCGGATTGGGCAGATTCGGAGTACTGTACATACCAACTCGTCGCATACCAACTCCCGCATACAAACACCGTATCATAACTTTGGAACTCTTCCCACCCTAAGCGTCATAAATTCGTGATTACTCACTCGAGCGTGATTAATTCTCGAGCGGTCGTCCAAACGGAGTTTGTTCTCGCAGTTTCAAATGCGTGCCTGATATCCTGTGGACGGATGTGTCGAATGCAATGCTAGGATTTGGTCCAAGATTTGGTACAAATTTCCTTTTTGGAGGCCTACAGATTTGCATGCAAAGGTGTGAGTTGTCTTCGCGAGCTCACCAACCTTTTTTCGGGTCGGCGGTACGCGTTGAGTCTAATGTTCATGTCTATGTCCATCATCACGACCGTGATCGAAAGCCGATAAACTTTTGTAAATTCCCCCATGACGAGATGAGGAATTGCCGATCTCGAACATCGAGGCGCTTTTGCAATCGGCAGCGTCGGCCGCACGCATCGCATTCCGAGAGGAGAGGTTGATGAGATTGGACGTTCGGCAGACTCCGTTAGGCCCGCGGAGGGAGCGCCGGAAGGAACGAAAATGGCACAGTCGGATTCGGAGCAGATAGGACAGAGCAGTGTTGACCGGGTCCCAGCTGCTCGCTCGTGAATCTCATCCGAACTCAAACAGACAGCGCGAGCTCTACGTCTTGGCGTGTCCCCGCTCCTCCGCAAAAGACGTGAGTCCCGCCAGAATTGATGACTGCATAAACTCGATCGAAACCTCGACATCCCCTCGCAGTCCGTACGTTCGAAATGAAGCACCCAAAGTCCACCCTCTGCGCCAACGGGTTGCGTAGTAGTTAGGGCAGATCATTGCCCTTCGGGTCTAACAGGCCGAATATCCTCCTGCTAATTCCTCTCGGCTATTAGTGTGCCAGAGGGCAAACGCAGTCGGTTCCCGGGGACCGGAGATTCCTGTACACTCCGTCCCTCGACACACACACTCTCTCCGTAGACTGGCACGAGGCCATCCATACGCATGCATGAGCATAGCGAAATTCAACGGCCGGTGCGCAAGCCATGAGTTTCAGCGATCATGGCATCGGCTCCTTAGAGGTCGTGAGTCCAAGTCACGAACTTGGACTTACGCACGAACTCCTCCCTCCTTCGCAATAAGTTCGAAGAAAATTCTGAAATAATAAACGAGATCCGGAACTCTTTCTCCCGAAAGACAAGCTCAAGTCGAACGATTTCAGACCACGATCCAGCTGCCACTCATTCGGAATGCCCTCAGACTTGGCTTTTGACCTCCAAGACCACAATGCAGTCTGCGACAAGTTTTCGCAAAGTTTTTCATTTGTCGTAACGTGAATTAGCCGGCCTGATTAAAATCACTCATGAGCCAACGTGTTCCCGCACCCGAGGTCACCAGGATTCCGTAGGCGAAGGTACCGTTTCAAGGAGCTATTCGGACGTTGGGACGTCGACTGGAACGGAATGAGATGATATCGAGGCACTGGGCAGCGAGAATCTACTGCAGATGCCGCCTTGCCGGTGGCCGCCATAGGAATGTGACCGGCAGGTGTGCACGGCAAGGGGTGGAGCTCATGAACCTGTGGATCCGGGGACTGGATTCCCCGTGCAGCACGATGGGTAACCTCCATTCGAGTCCACGGGATTAAGCGCGGGGATTAACGTTAGCGAGATGCTAAGGCCGCGGGCGAGGCATTATGTGCGTATCACGGGAGTCGGGCGACTGCCAGATCACGACGCGGTTCATGATGGAATCCGGAAAACATTCACAAATCCCTGCTTCGTCGGACGGTCCCCCACCCCACTCCCGTTCTTAACTCGAGGGTGACACCCACCAGTCTACAGGAACTTGCGCCCTGGATCCCTAAGGCGCAGCATGGAGGGATCATCGTCACCGGCAAGGACGGTGGTGGGCCGACGACATACCGGCTCTAATGCCGTCGTGACAACAATTACCGGTGCTGACGGGGACGCTACATCTGCAGTCCGACGGGAACAGCTCTCCGCAACTCCCCCCGCCAATCCAACCGTGTCCTCAGACACCAGGTAGAGATTCTACGCCCTCGGATCTTGGATCCGACGGACTCAGTCGCAAGATTCTACAGAATGTTCGGAGTAACGAGAATGTGGAGATCAGGCGCGCCACCTGGTTACCATGTGGGGACAGGGCCTCCAGAGGGGCTGACCGGGCTGTAATTAGGAAAAGGCCAAACGGGCGCGGGCAGGCGGGCCAGCCGGATTGAGGAGGAAGCAGGCGGACCGCGTACTGGGCTGAAAAGAATAGGAGCGGAGTGAAGGTGCTGAAGAATTCAAGGAAGGGAGGGAGGGAGGGAGGGAGGAGACGAGAGGAGACGAGAGCAAGCAGCGAGCCAGCGAGTGATCGGATCGACGACAAAGAAGTCGAGTCCTGCCATTTCGAGGCTGGCATTGTATCGCAGCTGGCTGTGCGCGACGAGGCGTATTGAACGACCTTCGCAGCGCGCAGTTTGGATTAGGCAGCGCAGAGATTTTGGGAAGTTTCTCTGAAGCACAGGCCCGGAGGACATTGAGGCTGTTGCAAGCAGGAGAACGAGGACGAGGAGGAGGGCGGAGTGCGCGTGCCCGGTTGTCGAAGTTTGGATTGGAGCGATTGGGAGCAAGGTAGAGCGGCAGGGATAGGCGGCGGGAGCTCTTAGCGGGCTCGACTTCTCTCCTCCTGCATTGGAGGTTGAGCTTAGTGTTGATTGTTGCAGGAGCCGGTGGCGGTTTCCCGGTTACCCTTGGCATATGGAGTTGGATCCTTCCAGTCAGTGAAGTGGATTTCTGTAGTGGAGTAGAGCTGGTCGTCACCATGAATCGTCTCGTCGTCGCCCTCTGCATCCTGCCTCTGCTTCTTCAGGATTCTACTTTTGTCGAGGCTGCCTGGAAGACGTTGAATGGTAAGCGTGCGAACGAGCTTCATCCTTACGATTATTCTTTCTTGCACTTCGTTGTTCTCTGTTTCTTGTCTTTCCCCTCCAATTTTCTTTGTAAGACTCCCAACTTCGAACTGGTCTGGAACCTCAGTGTCGCGAAAGCATTCCTGCTTTTTTAAAAATTGAAGCTACTGTGAGTGGATACTGCCCATAACACTGTACGAACGAAATGAACAATGTACGAACCGTCTAGTGAGGCCGGCAAGGTATCATTCTTTGTTGCCTGTTAGATTGAGCTTCACTAGCGGTTTAGGACTGTTAATCATGTGAGTGCGCAAACAAACACCATTTTCTTGAAAAAGTGGGAACCTCAGCTGAATCTCCACATTGGACGAGGCCAACAAACCTCCGCTCCTACTGACCAATGAGTGGAGAATGCCGAGGAAGTGTGCTGGTATGAAGTGACTTCGTGTTCGCTTATGCGTTTTGCCATCCATGTATATAGTCTTGCTGAATTAGAAACTCCAGAATGTTACATGGGTTCTTTGTTTCGATCGGGCACCTGTGCAATTCGACTGGGTATCATGCTAGCCCCAAAAGTTGCAAGTTTGGGAACAATAGCTTTGCTCATATTGTATTGAGATACCGACTGGTATCGTCTAGCGATCTATGCACGCCAGTGGATCCTGCGATGATTTACAGCACGTTTCAATCGGTTCTGGAGTTGGTCTTTATGGCATTAGCTTCGCTGACTGGAGGCTATTTGCTGATATTTTTACCTGTCACGAAGCTGGGATTGCAGAGCTAGTGTCTCTCAGCTTCCAAGTGTGTAGATGATGTGACTAACAGTACACATTACGAACTGGTTTCGACTGTTAGAAGGATCGCTTCTGTAGACATTGTCATCCATGAGGGGCATGGAGTGTCCCATGATTTCTATATGTTTGTTTGATATTTGTACTCGAAGGGACACTTTCTGAGATTCCTACGGTATTTCTTTTCATGAGTTCGTCTTTACTTTCGAGAATTGAAGTTGTGATGTTGTCTCTATCGCTGAAGTCCAAGTTTTTCCTCGCATGGAGCTTGCAGCTATATTTACAGCGTCAGTACAAGCTTTGGACGCTTTGGAGTCCTGACGTTTGCATTATAGGCTCAGTACGTGCTGTGATTGTGACATCAGAAGATCGCATGTTGCTTTGCAGGGAATTCTCCACTCGTCGTTGCCAATGGGGGCACATCCGGACTTTACCCTGACCAAACTTCTGTCGCTTATCAAGACGCGTTGAACTACAGTCTTCCAGGGGTGATTATGAGCTGCGATTTGCAACTTGTGAAGGCAAGTGTCGGAGGAATTCAAGGTATCTGTAGGACGAACTTGGATCTTGATCTGTCGACCAATATCAAGCAGGTCTACCCAGACAAGATCAACTCGTATATTGTCAACGGAGTAAATATCACTGGTTGGTTTACATTGGACATTTCAGCTGAAGATCTCCTGACTAACGTATCCGGTGAGCTTCTTCTCTCAATTGGAATTGCCTTGTTTGCCGTTCTAAAACTTGATTTACCTGCATTTGTTGATCAGCTCAATGTTGTGAGATGACGAACGTGTGAATATCTTTTTGAGGAAGAGTTATCCTCTGCATTTGACCTACTATCATAGCTTTTCCCTCTCAAGCCTTATATGCCGTGATTCACTGTGGAACCTCATTGGGAACCTCATAGGTAACTGCGTTCTTGGTTTTACCTCTTTTGGATAACTTTATTGACACTTTCTTGGGATGTGCTTGCAGCGAGGCAGAGCAATAATGCCAGAACTTTCGTCTATGACAGCTTCCTCTTACCAATTTTTCTACCCGATAATCTTTTGCCCCCGTATTGGTTGAATTCTGAGGTAATTGAGACAGCTCGGGATTTTGTCGGAATGCTAGTTTGACCTAGCATATGTTTCCCACCCTCAAAAAGAATCGTTTTTTTCAATGGATTTGTCGAAATTCACACCCGCCACGCGCTGTAGGCAGGTTGCAATGGAGACTAGCACTTCGCTTTTAGCAAAGCACGATGTTATGCTTGAACCTTGATTGCATAGGGTAGTATCGTCAACGTCTTATTACAGAATGTAAGCATCTGTGATAGGCCGGACATTTACCATGAAGGAATGAAGATGATATTCAACGTCTCTGAAAGTGTTATCTTGATTTTTCTGAGCAGAATGCGAGTTTTTTTGAGGAGCATGGTTTGAACATGACGGATTATCTGCTCGCTACCCTGCAAGGTCAAACACCAAATCCGAGCCCTCCTGATTACATATCTTCCACCGAGGTCACCGTCCTCAGAAAGTTACAATCGGATGCCAACAGCAAGGGCACCAAGTTGATTTTCAAGTTTCTCGAAGATAAAACTCAAGTTGAGCCAACTACGAACCAGACATATGGACAAATCCTGGGAAATCTGAGCAATATCGCAACTTTTGCCTCTGGGATTCTTGTGCCTAAGAGCTACATCTGGGAAACTGATGCAAGTACTACCTACTTGACCCAGCAGACAACGCTTGTTGATGACGCCCACAAAGCAAACCTTGAAATCTATGCCTACAATTTCTATAACGATGCATATCCATTTTCCTACAACTACAGCTTCGATCCCGTTACCGAAGTCATGCACTTCATCGAGAAGTACAATTTCTCAGTGGATGGCGTTTTCACCGACTTTCCCACTACTGCTTCGGAGGCCATAGGTAAACCGCCAACGTGCAAATTTTTGCTGCGTAGATAGAGTGGTTCTTATGGATTTAGGTACGACCGGTTCCAGATTTCTATGAAATCTTTTCAATTTCCGATGAGTGGGGAAGAGGCAACGTCACATCGTCTGGTTAAGCTTATAGGTGTGAAGTTGATTGACCTTATGTAAGCTGCTAGAAGAGTAGTTTTACCCAGTACTCTACCAATTTGTGGCCTGTGTTTGCCATTCGCTTGATCTGTGCGATACGAGGGAGTTTCTTTGTCATATTATGACATCACTTCTGCTTTTGCAGCTTGTTATGCGGAGAGTTCTCTCAACACGACCGCTTCAAAACCAGGTATTATTTGAAGTTCGTCTTCCAAGTATACTAAATGTCAAAGCTTCTTGCGTCTCGAAAAGTTGTCTCACAAATTTACCTTACGCGAGAGGCTTCTCTGGACTCTTGATTTGTTCCGTGTACTTGTTTTCTGATCAGGAGTTATTTGCACCGACACCGGGTTATTTTGCATCACCCTTTGCTGTTCACTGTAAATAATATTGTTGCTTTGTGCGCATGCTTGATCATCGCTTGTCGCAGTTGGCTCCAGACAAACCGTTATCACCCACAACGGCAACAGTGGAGATTATCCCGGTTGCAGTCTTCCTGCTTACACATCGGCTATCGCAATGGGCGTCGATTACATTGATTGCCCAGTACAAATTACTAAGGATGGTGTATTGATATGTCGTGAATCACCCGATCTAATCCTAAGCACAAACGTCGCATCTGTTCCCAACTTGTTTCAGCAACACCTTAACAACTACCCTGAACTTGATGAAGGCTCGGGAGTTTATTCCTTTGATCTCACATGGGATGAAATTAACTCGAACCTTAAATGTGAGTTACACGCGAGAGCTTTGCTCTAAAAGTTACAACTGTTGCCTGCATTATATAGACAGCATGCTTGTACTTGTGAGCATTGAATGGCGTAGTTTATGTATTGAATCCATATCTGCACCTTCATACCTGGCTGCACCACCAAAAACCCCACCTCACCGGCACGATTTTTGCACACGTGGTTTTTTGGTATCGCGATTTTTGTTTTTTGTTGCTTCGTTTCTACATCTGCCGATCTGGATGTTCTGATACGTCCACGGAGCAACCGAATTGCCATGAGCATCCGATGGTAACTTAATTTGAGCTTTGGGCATCGCAGGTAACATCTACAGTCCAAGTTCAACGTCGGGTATCGATCGGGACATGGCTAATGACGGGAAGTATAACATCATGACCTTGGCTGAATTTTTAACCCTGGCAAAGAACAGCTCAGTGGGAGTCTTTATTGATATCCAGGTAACCTCCCACTTCCATGAATCAATTACCTATGCATGTCATTGATTGCTCACATATAAAACTCTACTTAGAGATTACAACCTCCGTCCTGCGGACTGTTGAGGAGGTTTTTGTATCTACGGTGCTGTAGGTTGATGACACTTTGATGTTAATTTTCTAATGAGTAGTATCCGCCGCCTTGAACAGAATGCTGTGTACATTAGGCAGAAAAAGAATCTGGCTGTGGTGGACGGAGTCGTCGAAGCGATGAAAGCCGCAGGCTACACAAATCCATCTGAGAAAGTGATGCTGCAGTCCGAAGATAGTTCGGCTCTTGCAAGACTTCGGACTCTTAACGTGTCCTACCCACTCATGTATCGTATTGTGTACTCTACTATTGCTCCGGTCTCCATTACCCCTGCAGACTTTGTCGATATCAAGGAGTTTGCAACGTCAGTGAGCATTCCAAAGAAGTTCATTGACAATATGGATTCCCAGACCGGATTTATTGGTGGACCCTCGCAGGTGGTACAATGGGCACACGCACAGAATCTGACTGCTTACTTTTTCTTTCTGAGAAATGAGAATACTGCATTTGTCTTCGATTACAAGGGCGATCCAACTTTGCAAATGTACTCTTTGGCACAAAATTATCAGATGGATGGTTTTGTCACCGACTACCCATCATCTGCTGTGAATTATCTTGGTAAGTGTGTCTGTTTCGAAATGACTGAAAATTAAATGATTCAAGGGACCTAATTGCTTCCGTCCTATTTACGAGTCTCGTCCATACTCTTCATTTTACGTTCAGCTTGTGTTTGACATTCATTTGCCTTCGAAGTAGTCTTAATGTGGGCTGAACATCAGCACGACTGGTACGCTTGATCATGATGACTGTCTCGTACAAATCTTTTCGCCTCGCAGTTTCACAACTTTTTCATAAATACTAATAATCACTGCCTTGATTGTGCAGGAAATCATTGCATCGGAAATGGATCGACTTCGAGCAACATCAAATTCAAAATACCTCTCGTAGAGCCTGGTCTATTGAACAATGAAATTACTGGTGGGGCTCCGACTCCCGCCGGTGCCCCTGCCCCGGACTTGGTTGTGCCCGAACCACCGCTCATGGGCGCCACGTCTCTCAGCCCTGCTCCGGCTCCTGTTCCAGCTGCTGCTTCCAGCCTTCCCACGTGCCTCTTCTTTTCGGCTACAATTTCATTTCTTTTCCACATTCTCGCTGTACTGTAAGCCACCAAGCTGAAGGAGGCAGCATTTGCCTTGCTAGATCGAAGCTAGATAGTGTAGTCATACATTCAGTTCGTTTGCAATAGAATGATCGAATTTGGGTATATGTAAGTAGCCAGTTAAAAGCGGGAGGGGAAATTGGTTCCACGAGTGGATAAGTTAACGTAGGTCTTCCGGGGCAACTCTGGTCTTTGAACGTCAGTCTTTAACAAGTCTTTGGGTCTAACTTCTTCCTTCTGTCACCCGCCACAGGATTGCCCCACAATCAGCCCTTTACAGACACTGCCACTTATTGTAGATTTTAGTAGTTTTGGCACTCATCCACCTTTGATGTGCCCGTTGAAGGCAACTTCTTGTGTTAACCAACCGATACCGGCGTTGATTAGAGGGATGAAGAGAAGGTAGAATGAGCGCAGACAGTTCTGCGCACGAAGTCCATTTCACGCTTACTTTCTCTTTGGCTAGTGAACATGGACAGGGACGGTGTGAACTGTCGTGTCCATGTTTTGGCACTAGTTGAGCTTCTGTATAAAGAGCTTGGAAGGTAGCAATTTCCTAGTTTGAACCACTGAAGAATTGTGGAAGGTCTGTCTACAATCTCTGTCGACTAAATCTCACCAGTCTTATATTAAAGACACTGTATGTGCCAAACACATGAGAACAACTTTGGGAAAGGATATTGGTTTGTCTTTTAATAAGACAACGACAACAATATCCCATCTTATTACTGTGAAAAAACCTTATCAACCTTATTCGAAAACTTTTTGAGAATTTGCAGTTGTCTGCCAAGATTGTAATTAGCTATTTGACCATCTGTTTCGTCCTTTTTTTGTCTCTACCTTAGATATTGAGACGTATTTGAACGGTTCTCATCTGGAATATCTGCTGTAGGAAGGTTTTACGCAATAGTGTGGGAAGATGTAAGAAGACAGACCCTCAACGGCGCGTGCCGCTTGTCGCATACTATACACTCGCACAGATTAATGTACTGGCGGTAGGTAAAAAGAAAACAACTCGATCTTGCCATGTCGATCTATTCGAGTCCAGATCAGATTCTTGGAATTGAAATCTGTCACTATGTCCTATTGCAGTATTCAGTTTCCTAGCACTCACAGATGTTAACTAAATTTTGTGATGTGTGTCGTGATGATGTCACCCTGCTCCTGTCTAGCGCAGTCTCCATTCTTCTCACTCATGGCTTCGTGTAATGTGTGTTTCTTGAACGAGTTCCCAAGAACTCTACATCAAAAACATGATGTTTGTGACCGACTAAGAAAACATAATTAGTAATAATCACAAATTAGGATGAAATATCACATCGAATCTTGTTTGATGGAATAGTTCTATTCCAAGTGTGACGAAATGGCATAACAGAGGGATTTCTACTCTACATCAAAAACTGCGTGTTCCCGAATCGCTCTGCCAGAAAGTTATGTGAATGAGAGTGCACATCATGAGGTCTTAGAACCCAGACTGATGATACTCACCCCTGAGTCATATTATCCCTCGGGACCACGTGAAAATGAAAATGCCATCTATTTCTGATCTCGATGTACGGGTGTCAGAGGCGATCGTTTTAATCCGACGCACTGATCATACGATCAGTGTGTATGACCGATCATCTCTATGGTGCGCGATACAATGAAACACGGGGTGGTCGTTGGCCGAATCCACTATTTACCACCCGCGCATTGCATTTCATTTGAGATTTTTCAGGTTTTAAGACTCCGGATTTACTTTCTTTCGCCGGAGAGACCACTCACAAATCTGTTCGGTCTGTGAGTGGTATGACCAACAATATTAAAATGAGAGTTTCATCTATGAATGAATTCGAACATTTCGTTCAAATGCCCGTGAGAAGAAATTTAACCGCCCAATTTACTGGTAACTAAACGAACACTATTGCAAGTTGATATTTTCAAATTAGCGAAAAAACTCAATTTGATTTCCCCATGCGTGAATTTTCAATAAACTGACAAGTATTTTGATTTTGAATAAAATGGTAATTAGTGGTATATGGTAGATGTAATAAATTGAAGTAATCGCAAAACGAAAGAATATTGGAGAGATTTGCTTGATGGGACCCATGCGGAAGGTAATTTGCTTGATGGTACACTTCAAGTTTCATTTTACCCTATGGGACCCCATGAATGATGCACCGTCACCCATGTTCTAATAACAACTAGAGAGAGTGCAATGAGTCAACCGCAACCGCGGACAGAGTGGACTTCGCCCTCCATCACACACTTGTTTTTATGTTGTCATTCTTTAACCAGCCACTCCTCCAGGTGACGAGCAAAGAAATGTTCATCTGGAGTTTATTTGTTCGCCACAAATGGGTGATTGCGAGACTTGAGCTCATACCACTTTCCGGTACGAGTTCCCCGTCGCATACGCAGGGTTACGGAAGGATGTTGCAGGTGGGAGGCAGCAGAAAAATCCGCGAATAGGTGAGATCGGAAGAATTGAAACACAACAAATTTCACTTCGAGCAAAATTGATCTTTGTCCCCGTGATAATCCTGTAGAAATTATAATCAAGGATTGATCTCTGATTGTAATCCTCGCATTGTAACTAGTAGTAATCGTAGTTACAAGAACTATGTCCGACGTCACACCGTCGTTGGAGTCCCATCGGGTAAAACTAAACCTAAGGGATCCCATCAAGCAAATTACTTTCCGCATGGGTCCATCAAGCAATTCTCTCTAGAATATTGACACAATTCTGTAATCTTTTGTAATTCAGAATTATAGTGAATGATGTTTTTTATTTCACTAGTCATCTCATTTAGTTATTAGATTGTGTCAAATGTAAAAAAGAAATGATGTATACAATTATTATGATAAATGGTATATTAATCAAGCCAGTGTTACCCAAAGAAGAAAAACGCTAAAAAGAACATTACAAGTCAAACACTCACCTGCCACAAAGAAGAGATACTTAAGACCAACCCTAACTAGTGCCAAAAGAATGAATGATGCCGTACCTAACATAACCTAAATCATAAGTCACACTCTCTAAAAAAGTATATAAACTTTTCATATCTATTTTATGAGTTAGATTAATCTTTTGGTACCTTTGACATGTAACATACACATTATCTTTATCTTCAATGTTTACTCCGCCACATAATCCACAAATTTGTTCACTTTTATCAATATTGAATCATTGTACTTCCTCAATTTCAAGCCTATGAGACATTGTTCTATGTTGTGCAATAATATTATCTAAGAAAGTGAAGATATTCACAAGTAGATGTACTTGTTCACAATCTACAAGCATAATATAAACATGAAGTTGATAAAATGCATTTTGATGCTTGATCTATCCAAATAATGTTGGAAAATTGCTCCTATAGATGCTGATGAAGTAACATAAGTTGCAAGTTTCACTCACGTTTGGCCAAATTTTACTTTGAAGACTAAATCATTCCATCTGATACCCATCTTATGAAATGTGTGGCTCGCAAAGTTTAAGTAGAAAGCCGAAAAGCATCAAGAGGTCTCACTCTCCGAATGTAAGTGATTATGAAGTAAAGAGTTTTTGACTTTGAAGTAAGACAACATGTTTTCGCAAGAAGAGTATCATATGGAGTTTGGTTTCTAACATCCAATTATTCTTGTAAGAAAATCTTTTGCAATCTCTCCAAACGCTGCCAACATGTTTTCTTACAACCAAGACCTCACACTTGTGTTCCATATAAGATAAGTAGAAACAATAAGCTCATGAATAAGAATTTACTAAGACTCCAAGATACTAGATGAACTCCTCTATATCTATTTAACAATGAATATAGAGCTTTGAAACCAGCTTCTACTCTCTTTTGCACACAGAGTGCCAAATTATAATCGTTGGAGAAATCAATGCTTAAATATTTGTAACTTCTCACTTTATCCAACTCTAATCTTGTGTAAAAGAAAGAAAGCTTTGACGTAGTGACCACAAGAATGACTTTTGACTTCTCCAAATTGATCCTCATATGATTTTGAGTACAAAAGCTAGCCAAAGGGTCAAGGTGTTTTTGTAAATTAATGGCATCAGGTGCTAGTAATATGACATCATATGCATACAAAATAGCTTTGATGAGAAAGACTTCAAGTTTGACATCTTCATTTTCACAATACCCCGACTATATTCCATCTATGAAAACTCCAAATAGAATAGGAGAGAGAAAGAGAGAGTACAACCTTGAATGAATCCAATGGTACTCAAAATCTCTTTGGTTTGAAAAGTGTTGATCTTGGTCGGAACTTAGTGGTATAAGGCCGGCACAACTGCTAAGAGATCTGATGGTACTTTAATGGTCTGCAATCTTTTCCATAAAAGCTCATGAGGTACTGTGTTAAAAGCAATCTTGAAATTGATGAAGGCACAAAACAAAGCTTTTCCATTACCGTTGGACTTCTGCCATTAAACACTCAAAACCAACTTTGAACTGCGCTCTCTTCTGACAAGATTCAGCCAATGTGCTCAACTTTGACTCCACCAATTTGCCAAATAACTTAGCAAAAATACTATCCATCATGATAGTCCAATAGTTTGTCACCAAATCCTTGCTCTGAGATTTGTGAATAAGAACAATCTTCCGTAGAGACCAAGATGAAGGAAAACCATGGATAGCAGCAATCTCTAACACTTTTGTGAAAAGAGTCCCAATAGCATCTCCTCCCCACTTGAAAAGTTCAATATAAAGATCATTCAAATACTCACATTTACCATTTGTCAATTGTCTAAGTTAAATCATCACTTCAACTTCATAAAATAATCCAAAATTTCCTTCACAACGTGGTATTTATGTAGCATTGGAAAAAAAATAAAGCTTTTTGACAAAAGTAATCAAAGACTTAGAATGAGGAGTAGGTTTGAAAGATCGTACTGCCTATTGACTCCAAAAAGATTTGGGATTCTCCAACAGGTCCTTTGTCAAACATTCTTACTTTTGACTCAAAAAAGCTAGTTCTTAGACTTCACCAAGTCTTTGTAAATTCTTGTCATAATAAGCCAATTATAAAGATTCAAAGATTTATCACTAATTTTGTCCTTGTTTGCTTGCAATCAAAGTCATAACATCCATTTCAAGGAAAACTTCTAGCTCTACGGTTCTTATGTCTCAAAAAGGACTTAGAAGCAAAGTTTTTGAGAAACTTGAGTAGTTGTAAACTAGATATATGTGGATCAACGCTTGAAGTAGTAAAAGTCAAGAGTTTTTGTAAATGTTGACTATAAAGTTACTTCTTATTTGGATCTAAACAAAACTTGGGGGAAGTTGAAACATATTGACATGTAGAGAGAGGAATTGACTTTGACAACAAAAGAATATATAAAAAGGGTGTATGATCTGATTTTGATTGAGGCTCTAGAGTATCAAATGTTGAGATATATGAACTATTAGTGGCAGAGTACAAAAGATAATCAATAGTGCTAACGCCGGTAGAGAAAAATCATGTATTGGAGTGAGAGTTGGAAAAGAAAAAAAACATCATTGAAAACTTTCAGATTACATGTGGCTTCAAAAATCAAGAAATGCTCAATCAAATCATTTGTATAAGGATCACAAGAAATTCTAGACCACAAACTATACTTACTTTCTTCAAAAGAGGGAGAATACAATACATCATCAAACTGTGTAAATTGAGCAGAACGCATGTGAACATTAAATTTTCTAACAAAAAAAACTTCATCTTTGTTTTGATACTTGAGAACATCTACTATAAGCCGATGGTACGATTGACTTCAATTGCAAATGCTAGTGGAGTAGATCTACATGTATAATGGTGCAAAGTAACAAACTGCCAAATAATTGTAAGATCTTCCAATCAATCCAAGACAAAACCAATGATATTGATTCCCAATATTTTGGCTTTCCAGATGTATCATAGGAAGAAATTCATATCTCATGCATCTAGCAATGACTTTAAAGCATATTCTTGCTCGTCTACTTATGTGATTTCAAGAGTATCCACCAAAGTAAACCCTTGTATCTCCCCAATA